TTGCTAAGATGTTGCTAAGCCATTGCTATGAAATCCCAGGTGGTTGCTAAGATGTTGCTAGGCCATTGCTATGGTATGCCAGGTAGTTGCTAAGATGTTGCTAGGCCATTGCTATGTTATCCCAGGTGGTTGCTAAAATCAGATAAGATAAGATAAGACTTATTTTATCTTATCTCAGGTAATTGCTAACATGTTGCTAGGTCATTGCTATGTTATCCCAGGTGGTTGCTAAGATGTTGCTAGGCCATTGCTATGGTATGCCAGGTAGTTGCTAAGATGTTGCTAAGCCATTGCTATGTTATCCCAGGTGGTTGCTAAAATCAGATAAGATAAGATAAGACTTATTTTATCTTATCTCAGGTAATTGCTAACATGTTGCTAGGTCATTGCTATGTTATCCCAGGTGGTTGCTAAGATGTTACTAGGCAGTTGCTATGGTATCTGAGGTAGTTGCTAAGATGTTGCTAGGCCATTGCTATGGTATCTCAGGTAGTTGTTCAGATGTTGCTAGGTCATTGCTATGGTATGCCAGGTAGTTGCTAAGATGTTGCTAGGCCATTGCTATGTTATCCCAGGTGGTTGCTAAGATGTTACTAGGCAGTTGCTGTGTTATCTGAGGTAGTTCCTAGGATCTTGCTAGGCCATTGCTATGGTATCTCATGTAGTTGCCAAGATGTTGCTTGGCCATTGCTATGGTATCTCATGTAGTTGCTAAGACATTGCTAGGTCATTGCTATGGTATCACAGGTAGTTGCTAAGATGTTGCTAGGCCATTGCTATGTTATCCCAGGTGGTTGCTAAGATGTTACTAAGCAGTTGCTATGGTATCCAAGGTGATTGCTAATATGTGTGTGTGTGCTGGTATGTATGAGGGTCTGTATGTAATGTCTATGAGGGGCAGTGTGAGAGATGACCTTTGTGGCATCTTTCGTGGCAGTTAGATTTAAATTTTCTCAACGTTTTGTAATTCGTTTCCTTTGAGGAAAAAAGTTGCGTTGTACGAGCACTTGGTGCGCAACCAGACGCAAAACCACAAGCGCACTGTTCCCGTATAGTTAGTAAATTGGTGTTGTAAAGCCAACTTAATAATGAATCTATGTTTCTATGGGTTAGTTAAACACATAGGACAGTATGGGACACAACTTTTAGACTGGAATACAAAGAATCACCGTGTTTAATTATGTCAGCACTGTAGGGTTTCAGAATTCAGGATTCAATATTCATTGTCATTCCAACTGTTAGGAATTTGTCCCATTACAAATACACAACATAAAAAACAAGACGACAGATACAACATAAAAAACATAAAACTCATAAGAACTGCTACTTATAAACAAAATAAAAAGCAAATGCATGTAAGACATATCAACCATAAAAATATAGTGGCATTAAAATAATATTAAATGTTTTGTTGGAGTCAGGGGTTATTATAGAGGAATTCCATTGAGTTTTCAAAATTTCTGGATAACTAAATCGTTAAGACGTGATCAAAGTCATTAAAAGTGCTTTGATGTAAATTCTAGAGAAACTTACAGGCTGTTTTACAATAGTTTTGAGACAAGCTTAAGAGGCAAAAACATATTTTTTAAACACATTTATGGCGAAGAGGTACATGCAGGGCTATGTAAGGCAAAATAGTCTCCAAAGAAAACATATTTTTTAGATTTATCACTATTTTACCATCATCAAGATTCCATATACAAACTCAGAAGACACGTGTAGGTTCACTGGTGGTTTTGGATAGTAAATAAAGTGGCTATATTTGTGTTTTAGACATCACAACCTCTGTTTCCTATCCATCAACCATTTCACATCAAACCACTCTGAATGACTTTGTTTACATCTCTATTGGAAAATTGGTGGAATTCCCTTTTAAGGCCCACTTTCTCTGTTTGAACTCTTTTTTTCCTAAAGAAGTCCTTAAAATATCTTATTGTCCTTGTCTTGGCGTGGCTCACTGCTTTCTGCTGTGCCCAAATGAAAGTGTGAAGCTTAGCCTGAGGTACTGAAGGAACATGAACGATCAGGCAGGTAATCCTATAACATGCTAATCCTGAAAGTGAGTTACGTGATCAACTGCATGCTAATGCTAATCAAACATAAACTGGGCAAGTGAAAGGCATTACAGGAGGCCAAACGCTGCGCTGAAGTTTCAAAAGGAAAAGAGGCCAAATGTGCAGCTCAGTTATGAGAGAACTGGAAGGACCATCTGGGGGATCTGTTCAGGAACAACATGCTTTATCTCGGAAAATCACTTCTCAAACAAACCGAGAATAGAAACTCATCAGTGGATGTATTTTGGTCACAGAGTTTTAGAAAACCGATCTGCGCACAGCTTTATTTATTTATTTGTTTACTTGGCCAATTAAATTGTATGTGCATAATATTTCCTTCATGTTCAGTCACAGTACTGTTGGGATGTAGAAAAGTGGGAATTATTAAAGAGGAATTTCAATCATTAAGATGTAAACAAAGTTATTCAGAGTGGTTTGAATAACAAGAAAGTTGAATAATAAGAAATGGTTCATTATAGAGAAACCTGATTTCTTTACAGTGGTGGTAATAGGAACCAGGGGTCGCCATGACTACAACACAAATATAGACATTTTATTTATTATAAAAAATGAACCTACACGCGTCTTCGGTTTTCATATGTAATGTTGATGATGGTAAAATAGAGATAAATCTGAAAATGAATATAAAAGAAGTTTTTTTTAAGAACTATTACAACACCCTCCACTTATCTCTCCACAATAAAAATATTATTAAACAAGGACTAAATGTGCTGATGTGAAGCGCATAGTGGCCCAAAAGTTCTACAAAGTATGTACTTCTCATGTGTAACAGACTGATCCATTTCAGCTAACACAAGGTTCTTTTTACTTTAGCTACAAGAGCCCATGTGTCAAACACAAGGCCCAGGGGCCAAATCAGGCCCAATCCTATCAGGCCTGCGAAATTATTTTCATTTTCTATTAATATTAACCTGTTTCACAATGCACTGCACTACAATCCCCAACATGCACTGCAGCATAATGCGCATAATGTAATGTAATGTAATGTAGCCTATTGTAATGTGTATAATTGTGTACTATAGCCTGTTTATATATTTATTCATTTTTTTTATTTTATTTTTGGAATATTTCTAGTATTCATTATGTAATGTTTCAAAGTTCACTACAGCTGCCCTTATTTTGATGTTGGTATTTGAGTCATTCTATGGAAATGTCAATTTTTGTGTCCCTAACATTTACAGATATATTACATTTGGAAAAACATGTTAGGGTTACAATTTATTCTTATTTTAAACTAAAATAATAAGTTATTTTCACAATCACACCTTCTTGAGCCTCAATTTAGCAATATTGGTTTTTAAATCAATTGTATAGAATTCCAAGCACCACAGAAGAGCTCGTCCCCACAGTCATGTGTGAAGGCTGAGGCCATATTTTGAGGTAAAAAACATGTTTTTCTGCTATTTTAACTGCAATAATCTATACATGACTATGAAATACATTAATTAAATGACACAAAGAAAACAAATGCCAAATAAATATTATAAATTATATAATGAAAGATCCCCAGGAGTCGTGTCACTGGTGTTACTGCATAACAAAAAATCTCTTATATTGAAATAAAAATCACACTAATGACATCACTTGACTTCCTTTTACCTGTTTTCTGAGGATCTATGAAGAAAAGCGCATGGTGAGTCCACTGTGTCTTTACAGTTATCAGAGATTTTCTCATTTAGCTCATGATTTCATATGAAGCTTTTAGCTGAAGTCACTGATGTGACCTACTTTATTCTGAGGTAATGGTGAAAAAATGCAATACAAATGGATTAAATTACATATTTTAGTGGATATTCCATGATTGACAACATGTGGTTTGATGTTCTGTAGCAGTTATTGTGTAAAATGCATGTTTCATTAAAAATGTCTCTGGTGTTCCCTTTCTTATGTGTAACACCAATGACAACCAGTAACACCAGTGACTCCTATGGATAGATTAAAAAGTGGACGTTTGTGTAGAATGACCCATTTAACAATCAAATAAAAACACAGGTGTTCTCTGGCCCACAGATTTGTAGAGGTTTTTTTTAATATGGCTCCTTTAGTGGTTGAGTTTGACACCCCTGTACTAGAGTGTTAGAGCTCCCCCTTGTGGACAATCATGTTAAAGATGAGTGAGTAAGTGAGTGAGTGATAACTTTCTCATCAAACCACTCTGACTTTGTGTACATCTTAACCAGTTAACTGTGTAGAATTTCTTGAAAAGATGAATTTGCATTATGACTCTTCTTTCAAGTGTTCTGATCTGGCTGAATTGAAACTACATTAGATAGACTAGATTGAAACTGCATGGAGTCGATATGGCACTTGAGCAACTGTCCATTGACTTCTATTATAAGCATGTTTTAAGTCAGTGGGTTTTCTGTTCTTACAATAATATAGTGAAATTATTGTCCATGGTAGTTGATCTTATCCTGCAGATGCATCTGATACAGATTAGATTGAAAAAACACCTTTAAGCCCTTAAAGAACAGGCTTATTATTCAGTTTTTGATATTAAGGCCTCTTATTCAGTAACTAATATGTAAGTTATGCAGTGATGTGGACCCACACATGGACGCTTACAGTTCAGCAGGTTTAGTAAACATGTTTAAGCTGTTTAGTTACTGAGTCAGTGCTCGTTGTGATGTCATGGTGCCGGCTCTGCCAATCTTCAGTACATAACAGTCGCTTTTATCCAGCTGTGGTCTACATCCAGCAGGTTCATTCAAGGTAACAGTAACACCTTTTCAGTGCCAGCACCTCATACTGAGCATGCTGCTTGGCTTCAGTCCAGCAGTACGCAGCAGTCAGGTGTGGGACAGCATGTCCGGTCCAACAAATAGGAGGAGTCCAGCCTCTGGACCCCCTCACCACAGACTGCCCGCTGGAGTCTTTCGAAGTGATCTCAGGGCAAATCAGTTTTTTTGCTAAGACGTACTGTCATCATGTCTTTTTCTTCCAGTTCTCTCTGAACCAGCCACTGGCGTCCACATCTAGTTTGAGCAGGTCCATGATCCAGGGGTCCTTCTGAGCCCCCTCGATGAACTCGGACAGCGATATCTGACCTGTGAGGAGAAGTGATGTCTATTATGGTTCCTCAGTATCATGTGATGTTTAGTATAAATGCACTCAAAACAACCATTGAAACATGATGAAGTGAATAACGTAGTGCAAGAGGGGCTGCATATAAACAGTATTGATCCCAGATGTTATCATTATTTTTCAGAAATTATATGTCAATACAGAGTGCAAATCAAATTATTGATTATGGCTAAAAATGTTGTCTAACAATCACTACAGCTAGCATGTAACAGTAATGCTTGCTAGTCAGTGAAATTCCAGTTATTATTATTATAACAACAATAAGACAAGATGGCTAAAAGCATAGCTTAATTCTAATGATTACTGTGGCTACACTCTCATAAGAGATGGTTCTTCAAGGGTTCTTAAGTAAAGAAAATGGTTCTACATGAAACCATGAACACTTTGCGTAGTTAAAGGGTTCTTTGCATCATTAAATGGTTCTTCAGAGTGATGGAGAATGTGCTGATGATGGTACTTTTTGAAAATGGTTCTATTTAGCACCAAAAGGGTTCTTCTATTGTTACAATATTGAGCTTGAAACAAAAAGGAAGCCTTTTTTGGTGTTATATGGAACACTTTTCAAAAAGGTTCTATAAAGAACCATCTACAACATATTATCCATCCATCTGAAGAACTTCATGATGCAAAGAACTCTTTAATCATGCAACAGGTTCTTTGAGTCTTCATCGTTCATGGTTTCTGTACCAGAGAACCCTTGAAGAACTTTTTTTAGATTGCAGCATGTAATGCTAGCTAGTCAGTGAAACCCCAGTTACTATTATTATTATTATTATTATTATTGTTGTTGTTGTTGTTGTTGTTGTTGTTGTTGTTGTTATAGCAGCATTAAGGCATGATGGCTAAAAACTTCAAGCTAAGAATTGCTAAAGCTAGCATGTAAGGTTTATGATAGCTGGTCAGTGAAACCCTAGTTGTTGTTGTTGTTGTTATTATTATTATTATTATTATTATTATTATTATCATTATTGTTATTATTGTTATTATTAATATTGCAACATTAAGGCAAGATGGCTAAAAGCATTGCCTAATTCTAACTAATGATTGCTGTGGCTGCTACTGTTCAAGGGTTCTTTAGTAAAGAAAATGGTTCTATATAGAACCACACACACACACACACATCATCTAAACCGCTTATCCTTCTGGGTCGCGGAGGGGTGCTGGAGCCTATCCCAGCTGTCATTGGGCGGAAGGCAGGATACACCCTGGACAGGTCGCCAGTCCATCGCAGGGCAGACAGACAGACATACACATTCACACCTAGGGGCAATTTAGCATGTCCAATCAGCCTGACTGCATGTCTTTGGACTGTGGGAGGAAACCCACACGGACACGGGGAGTATATAGAACCATGAACACTCAAAGAACCCCTTGTTATACAACTCTAAGTTGTTATATGTTAACAACTTTTATAGTACAACTTAATGTAAAATGAATAAACCACTATTGTCCAATGACTCAAACTTGGGCCAGTGCATTGATACAGATGATGTTTTATTATTAATCAGACTATAGCCATTCAGTACAGGTGCTGAGATTAGATTTGGCCCATGCCATTTGATCAGGAGAGAAAATAAGTGGGGGTGGGGTGGGGTGGTATCTTTCTCTGGGGGCTTCCTCCCTCCTAACTTATAATGTAATTTGAATTATCTTCAAATAATATAATAATTATCAAATAATTATGTTATGGTAAGAATAATTACATAATATATATGCCCTTCCAAGGTTTTGAGTGAGAAAATAACTTTCCTATAGAAAATACCTATGAAAATTTGCAAATATTTCAATAAAAAATTATACATTTTTTTGGGTGGAGTTCTCCTTTCAACCTCTTCTGGTTCAGTGTGTCTGTGAGAGGCCCCATATGGCAGCATCTGAAGCTAATGCAGCGTGCTCTGCTCTGCTCTGTGTGCTATTTTGATCATTATGTAATGAAAAGCGTGCTCATAATGAGGATTATCCAGCTGAGGCACGTTGCAATATATGACATCACCTACACACACATATATATATATTTCAAGAGTCAACATACTTAAACTTACCATCTTTATTTTGATCCACCAGTTCAAAGATCCTGTCACACACTTCACTGGGTGTCATTTCTGTGTTCGATTTCTTAATTTTACAAATTATCTGTGAACAATATTTTACAGTTAATAACACATAAAATGAGGACACATAACAAATTCTTTTACAATACAGCTCAAAAATTTCTGGATCATTTCTGTCATGTAGCTTTTAAAAGCATTAAGCTCTTCAGACGTCTGGTTCCTACCACCACCACTGTGAACTGTTCTGACCCACACCAAACCACTCTGAATGACTTTGTTTACATCCTAAACATTTAAATAAACAGAAATTTTGAAAAAAATCAGTGGAATTGCCCTTTAACTGCATGTAACATGTCACCGATGTGTCCATTTAAGGCCACTATGTGTTGTTTTTAACACATCTGTTGGGAGAGTCCAGTAAACAGCATTTCCCTTACTGTAATAATGTGCTTGACTTCGTTCCTGTCTAACTTCCCGTTCTCGTCTCTGTCGTAGACTTTGAAGGACCATCTGAGTCTGTCCTCCAGTTTCCCTCTGAGCACCAGATGCACAGCTGCCACAAACTCCATGAAGTCTAATATATTGTCCTGAAAATGGACACACATGTGGATTAACGGACTGATTCAATAGACTATCAATATGTACAGTGTGTTTGCATGTTTTATTATGTTATGTTATTTGCAAGGCTTAAAAACAAGGAAGTAAGCGTAACAGTTGACTATTCTAAGGGCCACAATTAGCCTTACCTTTATCCCCTCAACCTTAAATAGCCTGGGTCCACAGTTCTATAACCTAAGAGTAGCTCAGCCAGTTTGCATTGTGGTCCCTGTAGTTACTGAATAATAAGCCTTAGTATGTACTAAGCCTGGGATTTTAAGGGGTTAAACCAGGTGTCAGCAACAGCAGATCTACTACTGTCCTGTTGCGGCTCCACAGCAGGATAAGGTAAAAATAAAATAATGCTTTGCAGTAAATAAAGCTCTGCTGGTTGTTCTAACACTGTTTAACAATAAATGGTCTTAAACGCTGAAGTTAATGTAGAACTGCTAATTCACCCTTTAACCCTGAAGGTTGGCGTGCAAATTTTGGGAAAATTCGAACAAGAAGCTGGCAAAAGAGAAGCGACTTCAGCCTCGTAAAATGTCAAACATTGAGAGACATTTTACAAGAAATTGCTCTACTTTTGCAGAAAGTTTCCTGCTGGAGATGCGAGAAAAGTGGCTATAGCTGAGCTAAAGCTTAAATCAGAGCAAAGTAAGTCTGTGTTTTTGTTTCTTTTATATTTTTAGCCTTTACTAGCACATCAGCACATACTGAGACATATTTACAGCCAAGATGGTAAAACGGACGTAAAATATTGTGGCTCCCAAGGTGGTTTGATTTTTGTTAAAAAGACAAAATGGCTCTTCTTAACATTTGGGTTGCTGACTTCTGGGTTAAACTGTGAGCCCACATGTATGTGGGTCCACACTTCATTCCTCACTCTCATAATTACAGAAATTACACATTAGTTTAATGTTTATATTGAAAATTCATAGTAGAAACTGAATAATTTATGGTAATGAAAAATAAGCCTCCATTTTTTAATTTTAATGGCCTAACATGATCTATTGATTTATGCACTTCACCTACAAATAAGCTGATTTTTATTCTCAAAAATATTGATATGCTAATGAAAAGTTAATACATTGTTTTAAAACTAAAATAAAATAAAAAAATAAAATATAGACACACACCTTGTTCCGGTCGAATGATTTGAATATGGACTCTATATAAAGCGCCTCCTCCTCCGAGGAACTTTGCACGCCGAAGATCTTGCGGAATTCGTGGAGGTGCAGCGCTCCGCTCGGACACTCCTTCATGAAGGCCGTGTAGAGAGCCTGAATCTGAGCCAGATCCACTTCCTCATCACTGTCACTCTGAACCTGACCCATCCTCGGAAAACCAGCACAGAGAGTCCTCACTCAGTCACCAGCAACGTCCCAACAACATTCCAGCACAATTCCCATCATAACTCCTCAGGGCCGAACTCTGAGTGGAACCATCAGCTCTCCACAGCGAACTGACCTAATCTTCATTTACAACTCGGAGCGAAGTGAGTCGAAACGGCCAGGCTGGTATTTTTAGAACACGCTTAAATCTCATTTAGCTCCTGATCCTGAGCCCAGCAGCCTCGCCACCATCGCTCGTTACCCAACATGCTCTTTAGCTCCTTCACCGCAAAGAAACGTCTTCATTTCATAACAACATCCAAAACAGAACTGATGATGAACATAAAGAGGAAAACATTTCAACTGATTATAGACTGTCTGATTATTGATTAGTCTGATTGATGGTTATGGTATGTTATATAACGGTTCAACTAAAATAGTGCATAAATAAATTAAATATAAAAGTGAACATTTATTGGAATGCAAACATGTTCATTTAAAAATATATATATAATTGCAAAACATTAACAAAAAAATGTATTTTAAAGGTGTCCGTTATTATATTAATATATGCTTATTATATTCTGGTCCAGTGCAAATACATTTGAGTGAAAAATAAAAGGATGCACTACAAAAACATGTAAATTGAATTTATTTGTTGAATTTATAACAATACCCGAACTAAAACTGACAATAAACATTGTCTATTAATTAATTATTAATAACATAGTTTATGCAGTGGTAGCTATTGTACAATATGTTATGTTATGATCCAGTCCAAATACATTTGAATGAGAAATAAAATCAATATTTTAATCGGAGAAGCAAGTTAAAAGCTAATTCTATTATAAATAAAGTGTAAATATACCTACACAAGCAAAACATAAAATATTCCAAATCAGTTCAAATACATTTGAGTGAAAAATAAAAGCATGCACTATATGTAAACATGTAAACATGTTGAATCTATAACAATGTTCACACTAAAACTGACAATAAACAAAGTGTCTGTCTATTAACTAACTACTAATAACATATTTCATGCAGTAGTAGTTATTGTGCAATATGTTCTATTATGATCCAGTCCAAATACATTTGACTGAAAAATGCAATCAATATTGTACTGGAAAAGTACTTTAGAAACAAGTTAAAAGCTAATTCTATGCTAAATAAAGCGTGAATTTCCCTATAAAAGCAAATTCAATTCAGTCCAAATGCATTTGGATGAAAATAGAGTTAATTTAATGGCTTTAATGAAATCTTGGCTCTTGTTTAGTTTATCGTTAAGCAGTCTGAGTGTGATTATAAAGCCTGCAGTCTGGTTTCTGTACGTGGAGTCGATGCTCCACCTACACAGTCCAGTGGTAAACACACTTAACAATACTTAAACTTCTCAGCTGCTTACCTCCATCACAACCTGCAATCTCTTCTATTTCCAGAAGGCATCATGTGACCCAGCCAGCCTGGGCACATACTAAACCAGTCTCGCCACTAAGGCAGGGGTCACTGATTCTGACTGACCCCTGCACTGAAGAAAAGAGCTTTTGGTCAATCTTCTTTTCAGCCAACACTTGATCTGACAAGTGTTGGACTGCAAAATCAGAGACCACCCATCATTTATTTAATTTCTAGTAAAAACGGTACCTTATTCATTTTTCAGCATCATAGAAGCAGAAAACATGCATTTAGTGGAAAATTATACAGAAACACAACAAGTAAATATCAGATATTGAATTTTTCAGAATCCACTGTGTCCAGTCTTCACCTTTATTAGAGCTTCCTTTCTTTTCAGGAGACTCACTTTCAGTTTCTCTAAGAAATCTGCAGGGAAGTTTTTCGACGTGTCCAAAGTTCAGTCTTAGAAATTGGTTTAGCATTTTCTGATTCTCATGATCCAAATAATCCAAGTAATTGGATTAAATTTTCTTCTTGTTGACATATATATGTATATATGTATATATATATATATATATATATATATATATATATATATATATATATATATATATATGGCATTGGTGTTGGGACAAAGCCTCACATATCCATAATTGTTGTGTTTCATTTTTTGACTTAATTCAAAAAGTCAGTTGCCCTTAAGAAACTTAAGAATGTTCCTTCTCCTTCTCCTATATATATATATATATATATAGGAGAAGGAATATTCTTAACTTTTAATAGAAGTGAATGGATATATATATATACACAGTTCTATGCAAAAGTTACAAATTACATTTTTTGTTCAGTTGTCAGTCAAAATAAGTGAAATAATTATATCCTCTACAGAAAACAAACTTAAACGTGGCATTTTCAATTTTAGTGCACAATTCCTATTTATTTGATGTGTTTAATTGAAAATATGTTAAAAAATTAAATATGCGCCATAACAATGCAGAAGTGTGTTCTCTGTATAGTGTGTGTTAACAAAATGACAAAACATGCCATTTGACCGAAAGTGTGTATACATATGAAAAATGAAGAGTTTCATTCCTAAATGCTGCACATCCATTCATAACAATTATGAATGTAACATGTTTTTGAAAAGAATATTGTGTGATATGTAAAGGAAAAAAAGGTTTTTATTTTTTATTTATGTTATAAATCATATTACAGCATGTTTCTTGTATGTGCAAAGCACACTAACAACCACAGATATCACTGACAACAAAAGAAAATTGTTGAAAGTGGTCTAGATCTGCAACGACATCCTTCACACAACCATTTCCTAATCTCAATGATTCTTGTTACGCTTTACTGTATTTTTACTGTATTTATGTTTATTTCCTTTTCTATGTAGATGATCAGTTGTCTGAGGTATGTGATAAACTCTAAGTGCCTCTCTACAGCCTTGTGGCTTCCCCAAAGACCCTTCTGTTGCCCTCATTATTCCTGCTCTAATCTACCTTCTAACCTCAGACTATAATCCTGCACCACAGCAGAAAGAAGGATACAGGAACGCGCCGGTATTTACTGGAATTCCAGCAGTGTGATCTATACAGCGAGAGAGGGTACAGCAGTATAACAGCGCCTCTTACCAGGCATCCCACATGAAAAAGACATATAAAAATATGTATATATATATATATAATATATATATATATATATGTATATATATATATAACAAATTGAAATATAAATAGTGTGTTTGTATTGTATGTTGTTGCATTAAGCCAGTGTGGAGTTAAAAGGAAATAAATGCATTTATGATTTAATGGTTAAGATGTAAACAAAGTCATTCAGAGTGGTTTGGTGTGAAATGCTCTGTTCCAGAGAAACTTAGAGTCAGAATTGTTCACAGTGTTGGTGATAGGAACCAGATGTCTGAAGAGTTTACTGCCTTTAAAAGCTACATCACAGAAAGTTATTACATTAAATAGTTATAAATACACTGCGTGATGCCTGAGTCTTGACATAAAACATAATTTTAATTTATTAAAATGTATTCATGGCTGAGATGTACATGTAGGGTGTTGTGAAGCAAACTAGTCCCTAAAGAAAACATGTTTTTTCACTATTTTACCATCATCAACATTGCATATAAAACTCAGAGGACAAGTGTAGGTTCACTGGGGGTTTTGGATAGTAAATAAAATGGCTATATTTGTGTTGTAGACATAGCGACTCCTGGTTTCTATCAATAAATCTGAGTTGGTAAGTTTCTCTAGAATGGAGCCTTTTACATCAAAACACTCGACAACTGAATTTTACAGAAATTATCCTTTAATTAATAAATAATCACAAAATCTACTGGTGCACATATTCAGATTTTATTGTGTTGTCATTTAACATGACAGAATATTATAGACAGAATATAGTATTTATCTTCATTTGTATCATGAACATGTATATTTAAAACGATACAAAGAAATCTCCAGGGATGTTTTTCAACACGTCCAAAGTTCAGTCGCAGAAATTTGTTTAGCATTTTCTGATTCTCATGATCCAAATAATCCAAGTAATTGGATTAAATTTTCTTTTTGTTCACCTATATATATCATTGGTGTTGGGACAAAGCCTCACATCTCCATTACTGTTGTTTTTCATTTTTTGCCATAATTTGAAAAGGCCAGTTGTCCTTTATGATGTGTCAAAATTTCATGATGAATAGACCAACAGAAATGGTCCAAAATTACTTGGAAAAAAAATATTTATCCATTTACTTCCATTAAAAGTTACGCAAGTTTTTCCTTCTCCAGTAAAGTTACCTATTTAGAGATATGAGGTTTTGTTCCGACAGCAGCGATATGTTGGGTGTTAGTGCTGGTATGTTGGTCTATCAGCATGACAATGCAGGGGCAACCAGTTAAACCAGAACTGGACCAGCACTGGACCAGCATAAACCAGTATATGTCGTGTTTTGATGCTGGTATGCAGGTCAGCAGCAATGAGTGTTGATAGGCTGATCACCCCCAAAACCAGCATATGTTGTATTTGGATGCTGGTATGCTGGTCAACCAGCATTAAAATGCTGGGGTTACCAGCTAAACCAGACCAGCACTGGACCAGCATATGTTGTGTTTTGATGCTGGTATGCTGGTCAGCAGCAAGGAGTGTTGCTAGGCTGATCACCCCCAAAACCAACATATGTTGTGTTTGGATGCTGGTATGCTGGTCAACCAGCATTAGAAATGCTGGGGTGACCAGCTAAACCAGACCAGCACTGGACCAGCATAAACCAGTATATGTTGTGTTTTGATGCTGGTCAGCAGCAATGGAAGCTGACATGCTAATCACCACCAAAACCAGCATATGTTGTGTTTTGATGCTGGTATGTCTGGTCAACAAGCAGAATCAGACCAGCATAAACCAGCACAGATCAGCACAGTCCAGCCTAGAGCAGCATGAAATGCTTGCAGGTCTGTGCTGTTTTTGACTGTTTGATTGAATGGAAATATGTGGCATAATTTAATTAAGGAAAAGCCACATTTCTTTTATTGAAGATTAAGGCTTTTCAGCACCAAGCTCAATCTTGAGCTGGCCTCACCGCAACTAACAAACCCACAAAAACCTGTGCTTTTTATACTCTTTTTGTTAAAGGAAGGGGGCAGCACCTGGCTCCTACATGCCCTGCCCATATATTTTAAACATTTTAATTTCCAAAAATCATGGCTATTTTGCCACACTTACTTCCAAACCACGGAGTAATATATTTTTTAAAATGTTTAAGGCCAAGGCTGCTCTCAGGCCCAAGCCTTCAAGCTCTATTAGCTTCATCTATTAAATTTGGATGTATGTGTTTTTAATTCATTTCTGCTACGTATGCACTTTTCCCCTTTTCCTAATAACTATTTTAACCTTCTCATGATATGAACAGACTTCAGCTGTATGTGTGTCCCATCAAGTCACAGCCGACACCTCAAGGCCACTCACAGAAGGCCTCCTCGTCCCCCTGCCTGAAGGCCACTCAGTGACACAGACACACATCCAACCAGCTCATCCACCACATAAACCATCTATGTGAATAATTATGATTCATTTCATCTGTACTTTTGAAAAATCTTTGATATCATCAAAAAACTTCATGAACCACCGTTTGAATAAAGCCAACACAGACTCTTCTCGAACAAAGTGGAAAGTTGAGTTGGTGGCGCCCTCTAGCGGCAGACACCCACCGTACACCCTTTAAACCTGCACAAAAATTCCGTAAACATCCCAGACGTCACTTCCTCTCACATTCAGCTGCAACAACACAGCAGGTCTTCAGATTCAGTAGTTGATGAAACAGATCGTGTGCATGTCTCAGATCGCCGCTGGTCTCGCTGCCGTGTGTGTTTAGAGGCGCTCGGATTGAAGCAGTGCGGACTGACTCAGCCATGAAGGTGAGCGCGGAGCCTGTTTGCGTGTTTGTTTTTGTCCGCCTGCGCGAGCCTGTCGCTCGGGACGACTGCTTCAGAGCCAGATTGGCTTCAATGTCTTTCATTTAGAGCAATAAGATGAGAAACTGGTCTATTTTCTGAGCAGCGAGCTCAGACTGTGTGTTTTGCATTATAAATGCGCTCCTATGCTGCGCGCTCGGCTGTGGCAGGAGGAGGATCTCATATTACCATGTTGACACAATGAGATAATCTTCAGTGGGGGGCTGATCTGTAGCCCACTTAGACAGACAGACAGACAGTCTGTCTGACACTAAATAGCTTTTCTTAGATTCACTGCCTCTTTTCTCTAACTCCAGTCATGCTCTGAGAAACTGTGTCACTGATGTTTAACACTAATGTAATAATCTAGAACCTTTTTTGCCTCTGGATGTTATAATGTTCCTGTAGTGCCGTGTAGTGCACACTTTAAAAAGGTTCTTTAAGGGTTCTTTAGTAAAGGTGGCGATTCTGTTTAGAACTCATGAGTTCTAGATAGGTTCCAAGCTTGTACCAGCGGAAGAACGCTTTGTGGTGCTACGTAGAACCGTTTTCAAAAAGGTTCTGTAGAACCATATGCAACATATTCTCCATCAATCTGAAGAACCATTTAGTGCTTTGCATGGTGAAATGGTTCTTCAGATTGGTGGAGGATGTGTTGTGTATGGTTCTATTCAGCACCAAAAAGGGTTCTGCTATTGCTTATGATCCCAAGCTTGTACCAACAGAAGAACCTTTTTGGTGCTACATAGAACCATTTTCATGCTTTAATGGTTCTTTGCATGGTGAAATGGTTCTTCAGATTGGTGGAAGATGTGTTGTATATGGTTCTGTACAGCACCAAAAAGGGTTCTGCTATTGCTTACGATCCCAAGCTTGTACCAACAGAAGAACCTTTTTGGTGCTACATAGAACCATTTTCATGCTTTAATGGTTCTTTGCATGATGAAATGGTTCTTCAGATTGGTGGAAGATGTGTTGTATATGGTTCTATACAGCACCAAAAAGGGTTCTGCTATTGTTTATGATCCCAAGCTTGTACCAATAGAAGAACCCTTTTTGGTGCTACATAGAACCATTTTCAAAAAAGTTCTATAGAACCATATGCAACGTATTCTCCATCAATCTGAAGAACCATTTAATGCTTTAATGGTTCTTGATGTGGTGAAATAGTTCTTCAGATTGGTGGAGGATGTGTTGTATATGGTTCTATACAGCACCAAAAAGCGTTCTGCCATTGTTTACGATCCCAAGCTTGTACCAGTAGAACCAGTTTCAGAAAGGTTCTACAGAACCACATGCAATGCATTCTCCATCAATCTGAAGAACCATTTAATGCTTTAATGGTTCTTTGCATGGTGAAATGGTTCTTCAGATTGGTTTAAGATGTGTTGTATATGGTTCTGTACAGCACCAAAAAGGGTTCTGCTATTGTTTATGATCCCAAGCTTGTACCAGTAGAAGAACTTTTTTGGTGCTACATAGAACCATTTTCAAAAAGGTTCTACAGAACAATATGCAACATATACTCCATCAATCAAAGAACCATTTCACCATGCAGAGAATTATTTAAGCTCGAAATGGTTCTATACAGTACTCACGGTTCTAAATAGACCTTTCACCCTTGAAGAACCATCTTTTTTAAGAATGTACTTTATGTTGTACCATTTTATCATAAGGTTCAGTAACACTTCAGTATAGGGGGACATTATTATGCCCTTGTAATGCTCTTATTAAGGTTTACGAACTGCATGAGCTAATCAACAGCAGGTGCTGGGACTCATTGCTGATTTATTGAGAAACCAGAATTAAGTGAATTAAGCGCTTTTGTTTGTGTATTAATTTTTAGTACTACATTTTTAGTGTCCACTGTTATGTCCTTCTTCTTACGCCTTATTAACACAAAAACTGGTATCTAACTGGCTGCTCATATGCTATTTTATTAGGCAATAACCAGGGAGAATTGACATTTTGAACTTTGTGCACCTGAAAGTTAGGCCTATAATGTCCTTTTTTTCATTTGATTTAATTCAGTACTTCACTAATAAATCATTAGGTACTCTCCAGGAAGATAAACTGACCTTCCCTGTATGCTGTAAAGTGAAGCTTTCTTGTTAGAACATATTAAGAAGGTATTAATATCTGTTCTGATTGGCTGCCCTGTATTTTGTCTAATAAGCAATCAGGCCTGAAACACTTATGGGTGTCAACATGGGTAATATTTTACCCATAAATAAGGGAGATGTTTAATAATCCCTAGTTATTGTTTAACATTAGTAGTAGTGAGCTGCTAGTTTATTACCAGCTTGATTATAATAAGGCCATTTTAATGTCCATCTAAAATACAGTGTTAGCTGTGACCCTTATAAGAATGCCATAAACGGGATGGCATGTAAAAAAATAATAAAGGTGCCAAATGGGTTCTTTTGAGCGATGGACCAAATAAGAACCACTCTCGGTTCCCTAAGGAACCTTTCAATTGATAGATCTTTAAAGAACCATTATTGTAAGTGAGATGTGAATGTTAAGAGCATTTAAGACCTGAAGAACCTCACGTAATATAACTGTTGAGGAACCTTTATTTGCGTTGTTCTCCATGTCACATAAAGTGAAGACAGACTGATGAGGTGGGGCTGGATGAGGAGCAGCGTTTTCTGTTTTTCTTTCCCAGACTGACTTTTGGAATGATGTTTAGTTATATAGCCTGACAGCCTGTGTTTTGGTGTGAGTGTTAAACACTGACCGATGTGTGTGTAACTCCTCAGGGCCCCAGCACAGAGGCGGAGGTGATAGAGGAGGGCACCCCAACACCAACCGACCCCAGCGGTGAAGAACTACCACCTTACCTGCGTGAAGAGCCACCTGAGGGTGCGTGATGCTTTATCTAACCTCATAACGGTTTTTCCTGATTTTCGTCTCAGTAGATTTAAAACCTGGAAACTTCACTGCAGGCTAAAAGTTTGGAAGCAACACTAAAATGGAAACATGGAAAGTTTACATTAAATGACAATAGTGATGTTTATTAACACTAACATATTAATTGAGCCCCTCTAACGAAAAAACATATTAACCGTTCCGACCTTTTTTGAATTATCAGTTGTTTTCTATTTTATTTTGTATGACCTTTTGCATTAAAAAGGCAAACTTTGCTTTATTTTCATTTTAGTGATCCTTTTATTTAAATACAGGGCATCAAATAATACCATTCCTTGTTTATGTGATTTTTACACACAAACGCTGCATATCACTGCTGTCGGAACAAAACCTCATATCTCAGTTTTTTCAGTTTTTCAGTTTTTGACATCATCTGAAAATGCCTGTTGTTCTTTACATTGTTTGTAAATTTCAGGATGAATGGACCCAAAGAAATGACCCAAAATGACTTGGAAAAAAACGTCTGGTTCCATTGACTTACATTAAAAGTCAAGTATGTTTTTTCCTTCTCCTGTAAAGTTACCATTTTGGAGATACGAGGTTTTGTTCCGACAGCAGTGATATCCTGCTTTTCGTTGCCAGGGATTAATTAATTAACATCAGACAGAGAGAATTTGACTAAAAGTCTACAGCTGTAGTGTCCAGCTAGCTGACTGTTAATGAGCTGAGCTCCTGCTGATTCTCCTGCAGAGTTTCACTGCAGCTCTAACCAGATCCATTTGATTCCTCCATTCAGAAGCTCCTGAAGGTTCATCAGCTCAGTCAGATGTGTCTCATTAGGAATGTGTAAAGAATTAACCCTCGCAGACCATCTGATGAAAGCAGTTGTTTAAAGCACTCCATTTTACCAAAACTTGTGTTGAGGGGCCAAAGTGCAATGTTTGTGAAAGAAAAATAAGATTTCGGTGCTGCTCAAAAGTCTAAGGCACTGAAACGCATTATTTAAGGCCATTTATCCTGGCAGTAAGTGTGTTATTGATTGTAAAATCACCATATTGTTGCTCAAAGTAGATGGAACCGTTTCATGCTTTAATGGTTCTTTGCAATATAAATATATAAATGCAATATGAAATATTTCTTCAGATTGGTGGAGAATGTGTTGTATACGTTCTATATAGCACCGAAAAGAGTTCTGCTATTGTTTACAATCTCAAGCTTATACCAGTAGAAGAACCCTCTTTGGTGCTACATAGGACCATTTTCAAAATGGTTCTACAGAACCATTTGCAGCATATTCTCCATCAAACTGAGGACCATTTCACCATGCAAAGAACCATTTAAGCTTGAAATGGTTTTATGTAGTACTCATGGTTCTAAACAGAGCCATTCCCTTTAATAAAGAACCCTTGAAGAACCATCTTTTTTAAGAGTGTTTTATAGTTTACCGTTTTATAATAAGGTTTTTGTGTATTAATCTTTAGTACTACATTTTTGGTGTCCACTGTTATGTCCTTCTTGTTAAGCTTTATGAACCCATAACTGCTACCTCAAAAAGGTTCAAAGGAACTTGAAATGGTTCTGTATAGAACTCACGGTTTTAAATAGAACCAATACATTCACTAAAGAATCCTTGAAGACAGTAACTTGAGGAGAGGGAAAAAAAACGTACATAACCCTGAATGAAAGTTATTGGATAAGTTATTCTTTGGAACATTTGTTTTCTACTTTTCTGTTTCCATCCATCGTGAAATTTTGACACAACATAAAAGGCAACTGGTTTTCAAATGATGAGGATGTGTCACTAGAATAGATGCAAATAAACATAAATATAGTAAAAAGTAGCAAGAATTTATTTTTTGAAAAAGCAGTTGATGTGAGCTAGTTTAAAGAATAAAGTTTGGTTCTAGATTTCTCCTCGATGCCCTGAGCCATCACTCCTGATTTAAGTTAATTCCTTAAGGCTATGTTCACATTAGCCATGTTGAAGTGGCACAAATACACAGATATTTTTTGCCCTAATTTGACTCAGATCTGATGTTTTCAGAGCTGTGTAGACATGCAAATCTGATCTTTTCAAATCCGACCTGAGCCACTTTCATACGTGGTCCTAGATCAGATACGTATTTGGTTCCATATGACCTTAATGTGATGCTCAGATCGGAACTCATGTGCTTTTTTTCCACTGCACGTTCTCCATCGTTCAGCGTTACCATGGCAGCAGCACCGAACAGAAGTTAAAGCCTGTAAACGGTGGAAAAGCAGCTCATCTCACCTTTTTCTCCTTCGTTTCACTCTAATAATGAAGCTGAGAGCTGATCAGAGTTAATTATCTTCTCAGCGAAGCTCGTTCTGCTCGTTAGTTTGTGCTGATGATGAACGTGATTCATTCACGTGACATTACTGAGTAGGATGAGCTCATGCGGGTCATTTCAGGACGCCGGTTCGTTTACATTAATGACAGATTTGAGTCACTTACCTAAACGAGTGTGAACCATCGTGTCAGAGAGATCGGATTTGAGCAAAAAATCTGATTTGATCAATGAGGCTTGTAATGTGAACGTAGCTTAAATGGTCAGGGCCACCAGCAGGCCCGGAGCTTTATTACACACTTCTATAACCTAAGAAATAAATCAGCCCATTTTGCTCTGAAGTCCCTGTAGTAACTGAGTAATAAGCCTTAGTATGTAACAAGCCTGAGATTTTAAGGGGTTAATAACGTTTTTTATACTTTTGAAACCTTAAATAATCACAGTTTGCTTCCAGGGTCTTGGCCTGTGGTGTAAAACCAAAAGTGGTTCTGTTTGAGTTGTGATTAATATGAATGGCATGTTTACAACTGCAGCTACACGCAGTGATGCTCTATTACATAATGTTATTTGATGTGAAGGGAGCACACAGTTATACTGAACATCAGCTGAGCTGTTTGCATCTGTGTGTGAAAATAATCTATAATTATAGCAGAGAGATGGACTGTAGGGTTTGTGGTCCCTGGTGCTTTATATTGTGACTGTTTTTGTGGTCAGTTTTTAGCAGACCTGTTCATTATACACAGAAATGCAAATGCAAACACACATTTTGCATTTGAATTTGAATTGTGTCTTCAGTGCTGCCCAATCAGATGGGAAATGCAATTGAAAAAAACGCAATTAGCTTTTTAAAATTTGCATTTGAATTTGAAATTTGTTGGCGCATCTGTTGCCGTCCTCTGCAAATCCAGCCTTCAGTATTCGATTATCACTGTTACTCACGTTTGTTGATGTTGTCACTGGTTAATCAGCCTCAACTACTCTATGTACACTATACTACCTCATAGAATAGCTTAGTTGAATACAGTGTGGTGGTCTGCAGGTGTAATACAGCACAGTGGTCTGCAGAGGGCTTCATTAGCTCAGCTCAGAGCTCACAGATGCCTTCAGACAGTGAGTTCAGACTCCAGCGTTCAGTGAAAAACATTTATTTATGTGGAAATTATGTGAATGTGATGAAAACATTTATGTAAATTCAATGCAGCTCTTTTCTCAGTGCAAATGGGCTCCAAACACAGCTGACCATCACTGTCAGAACCAGTAATTAGGGGTGTACGATATATCTGTGGTGATTTCATAGAAGAAACATATTTATCCCCCCCCCCAAAAAAAAAAAACTTCCATTTGATGGTTCTTAGAGAAACATATTTATAAATCAGATGAGAGTGTGAAGAACATTTTTAAAGGTTTCAGGAACCTCCACAATGTGATTAAAGAACCCTTAAATTGTTATAGAACCTTTATATAATGTAAATAATCAGTTTTGCTGGCACGTGCTCTGACGCTGTGCTCCTGCAGAATGAAAATGTCAGCGGTGTGGAAGTTTTTCCTCATTTCCAGCAACAGAAATGCAATTTGCAATAAACACTAAGCTGAGGTGCAGCAAGGAGCAAAAGCGCTAAACACTTTAAGTTCCACTGATGTAGTTATTGATTCATTTGAAAGCATATCATTGCAGTATACACACTTAAAGATGGTTCTACAAGAGTTCTAGAACCATGAACACTCAAAAAACCCTTTGCATGATTAAAAAGTTCTTTGCATAGTGAAAGGGTTCTTCGGATTGATGGAGAATGTGCTGTAGATGGTTCTTCTATTGTTATAGGCTTCACATCGTAACAATAGAACAACACTTTTTGGTGCTATATAGAACCCTTTTCAAAAAGGTTCTATATAGAACCATGTGAAACATGTTCTCCATCAGTCTTAAGAGCCCTTTAATCATGAAAAGGGTTCTTTGAGTGTTCATGGTTTTCTATAGCAGCGCCTACTTTACTAAAGAACCCTTGATGAACTATCTTTTTTAAGTGTGTAGGGTTGGGATTATCATTGGGACCAGGGTTGGGTTCAGGTTTAGGTCCAGGATTAGGGTTAAGTTTAGGATTAGGTTCCAGTTTTGGGTTGAGGTTGAGTTTAAGGTTCAGGTTTTAGAGTGATTTTAGGTTTAGGTTACGTTTTTAGGTCATCTTTGTCAAGTGTGTAGCCTAAAGAATAGCATTAGCAGGTAGCGTTAACTGTTAGCATCTTCAGAGTCTTATGAGAATGTTTTAAAATGTAAAAATGTGAAATGATTGCTTTTTGGTGTCAGAGTCAGCTATAATAAGATGTTGACAAGATGTGGGCCATGCTCCGCCCACAAAAGTATTCTTTCATAGCAACGGTTGCCAGGTTGGACAAGCTTTACACAACATTGGCAAAAATCCCATTTAACCTAATGAGAACCGCTAACTCAGTTTATATCACATAACCTGCCTTTAAATTGCATTATTGACTTCAAATGATATTTATATAGTGTGTGTAAGTGTGTGAAAGGTCAGATGGTCAGATGTAGTGCTCTTTGTTGTGTAACTGAGCTGATGTTAGCACAGCGCTACATTCGATTCCAACCAGCCTAAACTGAAAGAAAAGCTGTTAAATTTACATGATTCGAATGAAACGTTAGATTAAGTACTTCAACAATGTAATTAT